TCGCCAGCAGCATGTTGACCTAATTATTTAGGGTTCGTCTTTGGGCCGGGCTGGGGCTTTAGGGCTGGAGTTCCAGTATATGTACATAGTCACGGCAGCACAGAAGGCCATCGGATCACTGGTGCATTCACTCTAAATGGCAGAAAGGGCACCGCCAGGTTCCAGTACCTGGATAAAGGGGGTGTCGAACCAACACTCGCTCCGCTACCAGTATCAGAAAGCGAGTGCAACACGCCTTTTACTGTTGGCGGTCGCAGTGACTCAAAGGGCCCTTCGATTTTGGGCCGAAAGGAGCAGCGCGAAGCTGCAGTCAGCTCTTAGACCCAGTGGAAAACCGTCCCTGTTGACACTGTTCAGGTTTCGGCACGCAGGGTTTAGGGTTTGGTTTGAAGTTTGAAGGTTTGCCAACTAGCATCTACAACCGGTCCGGGTGTAGGGTTTGCCACCCAATATCTTCTTTGAGGGCTCAGGGTTTGCAAGAAATACACAAGATCAAGGTGTACGGCTTTTTGGGGGCTTTGGGCTTCGTTCACGACATTTTCGGGTTTAGGGCTTGGCTTACGGCCGCGAAAAGAAGGGCTTGCCACCCAACTGTGGGGGTTGGCTTGCGATCTTTTCGGGTTCAGGGTTTGGCACCCAATATTATGTTTCATGGTTGAGGTCCTAGTTTGGTTTACGACCTTTTAAGGGGTTGCCACCCAACGTCCTGTTTTCGGGCTTCGGCACGCAGGGTTTAGGGTTTGGGTTGAAGCTTTGCCACACAACAGTTAAAACTTGTTACACTCTCACAACTCGGACAAGCCAGGCGAGGATCCATGTTCGACAGTCGGCGTGAAAACATTGGAACTTGGCATGCCTGCAACTATTCCACCAAAGCGCAAGAACCACCTAAAGCAACAGTAAACCAGAAAAAGCAACTAGTGCAGGACGGCCAAGCAAGATTGGCAGTAACCACTACTTTCAGGTTTCAGGCGGCAAGTGACTCGAAATGATGACACTCCACAATGAAGAGCACTCAAACTCAAAAGCCTTATCGAGTTCACCCATCGCCAATCTAGGTGTTATGACATACAGGCACTTTAGCCTGAGAAAAGGCACGGCCTGGACCTCGATACAAGCAAACTCATACCAACACTAAGTCATCCGGCAACCGGTGAGGAACCACCAAGCTTAGCGACAGCGAGCCCAGGCTGGCTACTGAGAGGCGCACTAAGTGACTGAAGTTCAGGGTGAAAACTCGGTGTGGCTCAGTACTGCTCGTTCAGGTAACTGTGACTTCGGGGCACTTCGACTTTAGTGCGTTCATGCAGACCTCCACGGCATGGGTCATTGGTCCTCTTGTGCGAGCCAGCGATCCCGCAGGGTACACCAGCTTGACGCATAGAGGAGCTGTTGGTCGCAATTGACCAACCCAAACGCCGGGTCTTGTCCCGACTCCACATCAAAGATGTTTCCCATGCAATCCCAGTCCACTGTGACTTGCACCACTGTTGAACTGGCCTTCCGACCGCGGAAAACACGGCGTGTGCCTTTGCAGAGTGGCTGCGGCCCATTCTTGAACTGTATTCATCTGTTGGGTAGTCTCTCATATACCAGCACGGAGCATTCTGGCGGTTCTGACTCCAAGCTCGACATCAAGTTCATCTGAAGGGTCGTTCCTCTAAACCAGGCAGATCGCCTCTTCGGCAGCGGAGGAAGAAAGGCTCCGGCGGCAGACATCGGCGCGTCGGCGACAGCGATCCATAAGTCGGCACGGTCGCAGGTTCTTGGTTTTTAGGGAGGACCCAAAGGATAAAACATTCTGGAAGTAACTACAGCTGTAGGGGTTCCCGGTAACGGCACACGACGACAGACCTCGTCAGCACATCAAGGCACCATCAAACGACGCGACATGCAACATGCATCAAATTCATCAGTCCAGCAGGCAAGGCAAGGCAGTTCAGGCAGTCCAGCAAGGTGAAAAGAAAGGGTTCGTCAGTCTCCTCTCGGCAGCGACGTTGCCTAGCTCTTATCGAGTCCTTCTCGTGTTTTGCACGCAAGAAGAGGACTCCGACCTTACTGGGAGTCCAAAACCTCAATAACATCATGTACGTCACAGCAGAGGAGGGGAGCTCCAGGGCTTCAGACAACGTCAGCTGCTTCAGACGGGGTTCTTCTCCGAAGAGCCCACCATGCGTTGCACAGTGGAACATTGTGGGGCTGGGGAGGTGAAAACCGAGGTTCAGAAGGCGTTTTCTGCAAAAACTATCGATGCTAGCAGCATTTAAAGAGGTAAAAGCCACGAGGACGTAGCACCTCTGAACCCTGGATTCCTGGGGTACATGTCCGGCATGAAGTACCTTCCTCGCATTAAGAAAGAAAGGCTCATTCAAGGGCACGACAGTACCATTGATCTGATGTCCGAGGTGCCACTTAGGGACTGAGCCAAGACGGTCCTGCACCCAAAGACCTTCACAATGCAGGCACTTGTTGAGCCCCAGGTTGACTTTTTAGGGTTTGGGGTTTGCAGTAACAGAAACATTTAGCTTTCAAAAGGCTTTTCTCAAGGTTCTATACCCTCGCAACTCGGGCAACGCAGGCGAGGATAGTCCATTGTTCGCAATGGGGGCACATGTGGCCTCACGTCGGTCAGCCGTTTCAACTTTTTCGGGTTGCTGGCCTGGCTTGAAGGTTTAGTTTACAACCATTGCGTAGTTGCCACCCCTCTGTCAGGGCTTCCGCATGCAGGGTTTAGAATTTGGTTTGAAGGTTTCCACCCAGCATTTACAGGATTTGCGGCCCAATATCTTCTTCGAAGGTGGAGGGTTGCAAAAAAAGAAGCTCGGCGTTTACGCATTTTTTGTTTTGGGGTTCGTTCACGACATTTTCGGGCTTAGGGCTTGCTCCAGGCTTGGTTCACGGCTTACTCAGCGTTTGCCACCCAATATTATCTTACGGGGTTGAAGGTTTGGTTTACGACCTTTTCAGGGGTTGACACCCAATATTTTTTCAGAAGGGACTGTCCTGGGGCCTGCGTTTTGTGGTATAGATATTTTATGTTGGTACCATACCTTCGTGGGACGGGCAAGCTCCAGGGCAGTATCTTCGCAGCTTTAGAATCCCATATGTTTCCTGGATTGTTGTGCAGATTGCCTTCGTTGTTTCGGGGAAAGCATATCCTTTTGCAACCGATTGTAGGTCCAACTTGTTTAAACATGGGGTTGTCAACACACCAACACCACCATCCTGACCCGCTGCATCCTCAAGAACATGCCGAGTTTATGTAGCATACCACACGACCTGAATTTGGTTGTTTTTCTTGTTTTTTCTGAGAACGAAGTTCATGATTTGTGGGGGGTTGCGTATGAACGCCGCCCTGTTTATGAACACAGACTACCTGAGGAGCAGTGAGCAGCTTATAGAAACACTGTGTCTACGAACAGTTCAAGGGTCCAAGCACCATGTAAGCGACAGGGACGCATCAAGGATAGTCGCAAGGATGGAAGGCATCCATCCAGAGGGGGCCTGGATCTTAAGGAATCGTGAATGTCATATTTTGAATTCCCTAATTAACATGTCATATACCGCCGCGCCATGTCATAGAATAGATGTAAACTGCTCAAGATTCTGCCAGTATTCAGTGGGCTGTATTCTGAGTTTACTGGGAAGGCCCATTCCATACCAAACCGTATGCTGTTTAATTTCTACATCTATACATTTCCGGCATACATGTGGATATAATATCTAACTATCTTCGATGTATATATCTCTGTATCTATCTATCTATCTATCTATCTACCGACCTACTTATATTGACATACTGAGATACTACAATACAGACCCGACTGCGTGCTCGCACGAACACGCAGACCCTCACCGAGTCAGTGAGGCAACTACTTATTTTTTTCTTTCATTTCCTTTGGAAGTGGATTATTGTATTGTGGTAGTAGAGCATACCTCGGTAATGCAAACACAGAGCAAACACTTGTACCGGCTTGTGCATGCACATGCCTGTGCATTCACGTGTTTCTGCATGTACATACACAGCATGGTGCATCATGTTACACCTTTGCGAGCAGTAGTACGCACAAATGGCATAATTCTATGTGACACCAAGAAACACAATACTCAAGCACCCAGGCCCCATGGCAACTTGGTCATCCATATGCATCTGATCTGCATCCTCCAAATCAGGTATCACCGTATTATCAACTTACGTCAATATGGTTACCGTTCTTCTACACTATCTAAACTGGTACAATAACACATTTTCATTGTAAGAGTCAGGCTCTACTGTTCTTCTGAAGTGTTTACTTGTAAACCATTGCAGAAACAGCTGTAAAACACAGCCCCCGGGCAGTCAGCTCTGTATCTTTTAGGGTGGGTTCAATTTTAAGGTTTGCCACCCAGCATTTACAACCTTGTTTTCCCATCCGATTCACACTTACAAACTTTTAAGTTCCATCTCTCGCAACCCGGACTCCGCCAGACGAGGTCTCTGTGCCCAACCACGTCTTTATGACTGCTCTCTGGCGTAGCAATCACTTAAAAGGTTTTTTTGACACTCACACTCGGACAAGTCTTGGCAAGGTCTGTAGACGAGACTTGACAAAAACTTCTGTGGCCGGGAGTTCGGTTCAACCCCAAGCCATGCGTGAATGAGCTACAACTTGGCCACGCCCAGGAGCTCAACAACAGACAGCATGCAACATGCAAAGGAGCTCACAATCGACAGGCATGCCATCCAAGGAGCTGCGATGGACAGCTTGCAGTCCGAATTTCACTCACCCCTCGCACTCATGCACTGTACCACGAGCCGGCTAAGGAATTCGCTGAGTTTTGAAAAGCATATCTTGGCGGTACCTCTGTGATGAGGCTGTCCAAGATGGGGGACGTCAGTCGCGCCGAGTCGATCTCGAGCATTCCAAGGTAATACTGCAGCCCTTGGCCCAACGTGCGCCCTGTTCATTCCTTTCGACTTGACCTGCAACCAAAGCGTGTGCACCTTGCGAGCAGGGCACCGCGGCATCGACATCACCATCCGCAGACTCGCACTCCATCTCATCCATGCCGCTCACGTTCTCACGGGTTTCCAGCTCACAATCCATAATATCGTTTAAGGCCGGCGCAGCAAAGGCGTCCGGCGTCAGCTCAGCCAGAGTAGCCACACATGCCTCAGACCGACACACCTCCAGACTCGTATCAGTCTGCGTGGCTACATGGCTAGCAGCCAGTTTCGCCTCTTGTTCCACCACCGCCTGCAAAGCGCGAGCGATAAGCTGGCAACCTCTCCCAGGCCGAGGCGCTTGGCAGCACCACGGGGATGAGCCAAGTTTGCAGCCAACTTGCGAACCCCGCAAGCCATGACGAAGGGAGTCTTGGAAACAATATCCGCAAATCTGGGACTTTTGTCTGTAGCCATTTCAGAAGGTTTAGGGTTTGCAATAAAAGAGGGTTTACGGCTTCTTTCAGGGGTTTGGGTTTCGGCCTTGGTGCTTCAAGATGTTTCAAGCTTGGTTTCGTGTGCGCTTTGGGGCTTCTTTGTCGTTGAGGGTTCAGGTTTAGGGTTTAGGGGGGCTTTAGGGTTTCGTTTCGGTTTCGGGCGCTCGCGCTGGGACATGCCACGTGAGGTTGCTGGTGTCCGTTTCGGGCATTAGGGTTGAACGTGGTGTCAATGTACATATATGTATGTATGTATGTATGTGCGTATGTATGTATGTATGTATGTATGTATGTATGTCTGCGTGTGTAAATACGCATAGAAGAAATATGCATGCAAACACACATACAGAGTCGATATATTATATAGGTATATATTTCTGTCTCTCTGTACACATACATATACTATACATGCAGCACGTAACATACATACATACATACATACATACATACATACATACATGCATACATGTGTATACAGCATGAGATATATTTTTGGCACTCGCACTCGACAAGCAGGGTCCAGGGTCTCAGGCGGTTTGAGGCGCTCAGGTGCTTTAACCTAAGACAGCATTAACCCAGCAAGCACATTAGCCCGCTGGCGACACTCGGATCTCTTCAGCGACCACATCGTACAGTGCTTCGAGCAAGCCAGGTAATCCAGTAAGCATGCCCTGCGCTCACCCTGTGTGTCAGGCCAGCTCACACACGGGCCCACGCATGTTTGGGAAGCACAGCGCCTACCAGATCACTCACATTCGCCGCAGCATCCACGTCACGACTACACCGTTGCGCCCATCAGTCAGGTGCCAGCAAAAACTCCCTAGCCAGAGACGAGAAGTCCGCATTGATGGAGTTGTCTGTCATCGTAGCGTCTCACTCGTGGTGTTGTTCGATGGAAACTTGCATCCGGATCTCCAGCCAGTCAAGCCGGTTTTGTTGCTGCAGCGCGAGTGGTGGAGTGATCCCCACCTGACTTCTGTGCCACAGCTCATAGACGTCTGTACAGGGCAAAAAACTGCGTAGTCACTTCCATTGCCAGTCAGCAGCGTCGCATGTCGGCACCACACATGCCATCATGCTGCCATGTCCATCTTGCAGTCACCAGGCACAGTGACGGCGTCGCATTCCAGCGTCACATGTTGGCACGTGTCATGTCCTTCTTGCAGTCGCACAGACACAGTGACGGTGTCGGCACACAAGCCGCCACTTTGTTCTTGTACCATTTGCAGCTTCGCCACCAGGTTAGGGCAGCAAGGGGTACCTGCTGTGGTCTGCGCGGGCATCTGCAGGTATCAGCGGCCATGGCAGGGTTGCGCCCGTTTCTTACGTAGCCCGGGTCTGTGGGGGAGGGGTAACCAGGAGGCCCTGCCAGTAGTCTTTGTCTTCAGAAGGGGGGGGGCATACACCCCCATCCGGCTCAAGACTGTCCTCTCAGAAGTGTGCAGTAGGGTGCGGGTGGCATCAGCATCACCATCTGTGCAGCAATCGTCAGGCATCCAGAACAGCATGAGTAGGCCTGGCAGAAACAGCATCAACATCGAAGGCAGGCACTGCAGGCAGTATTCATCGGCGAGGCGAAGGGCGCCAAAAACAGTACAAAAAGCAGTCCAAAAAGTCGAAGAAGGGCTCAAACGTTTATCCGGCGGTTTATCCTGCAGTTCCTCAGTCATAGGAGCAGTGCATTGTCACAGAGGTAGCCATAAAGGCGCTACGTGCGGGGTCAAGTACATAGACCTTGGTTTGGGCAGACAAGTGGCTACGCAACAGCACAAGGATCTCAAAGACTGTAGTAGGTGATAAAAAGACCAAGGTTGCAGAGATAAGTACATCGGAACAAAGGGTGCAGTGTACTAAGGTAATGGAAGAGAGGGGAACTCAGAGGGTGAAACTACTGCTTTCATCAAGTGCATCAACCTCGCAAGTAAGCCCCACTCTTGACGCATATGCAGCACTGTCTTGCTTCGGCGTGGTGCCATCTGTCCTCCTTTGGGCACTTCGTGCTCCAAGGAATGTAGGGGCTCGCCCAAGTAGCAAGCAAAAACAAGTACAACAGAGGTCTGCACTCGCCCAAGTAGCGACGTGCGGCACAGGACAGCAGAAAAATCAGCGCAGCACGCAGTAAAGGGAAAGGGCAGGCAGCAAAGAGATGGCAAGGAAGGTAGCAGGCAGTACGACAGTGCAAAGGAAAGGCAGGCAGCGGCATGCATACAGTGAGAGTCGTCGGGCTTTCACCCGAAAGTGCAGCCTGTTCGCCGTCCAGATACAAAACCCGACAAACCTACCGCTTTTTTTGAAGTAGAGGGAGAAGGACATAAAACCCAAAAGGGCAACAGGTTAGATCTGGGATGGCGCAGGCTGCAAGTGCATTTGCTGGGCAAGCCCAGCTGGCATTTGGAAGGGTTTGCCTTCCCAAAGCACTGTGATCATCTCATTCGTGGGGGCGGTCACTCCGATGCCCATGAAGCCTTGCAGTGGTGGCTGCGTAGTACCCTGCGAAGGCATCTGCAGAACCGGGCCAGGAAAGCTGCCCAGGGGCACGGCTCCGCCCATCTTCGGTATAGCTCCCTGTTGCGCTTGAGGCAGCGTCTGCGGCAAAGGGCTGTTCCATTGGCCAGGTGGTTGGTTGGGGGGTGGCGGAAGCGGCGGCTCACCACCCAACACCTCTGGCGCAGGCATATGGGGCGGAGGTGCTTTAGTAAGGCTTGCTGGCATTCATCCTGCTCAGGACACTCTCCACCGCCGTGATTTTCTGGCTCTGCTGTGCCAGGTTCGCTTCCAGGGCATCAAAACTTTCCACGAGGGATCCACAAGAGACCTCAAGCTTTCCCATGACATCCTGAACCTCCTTCATCTGGCAGAGGAGTTTGAGCACTTCTGCGTCAAGGCCTGCTGAGGGGGCCCCCGGCTTCATCACGCCATCCACTTTTCGTTGGGTCGAGGGCCTGGAAACGGGCTCCCGAATCCCAGGCAAAGTCGCCCACCTGTTTGGCAGCATCTGTCACTGTTGTCTGGATCGTGAGCAGGAGCTCACGGAGGCTGGGGAGCGGTTGTCCGCCTGCATCAGTGGACCCTCCGAGGGTGGTCCGCAGCTGATCCAGCGTGGGGATCAATTTGGCCGCCAGGGGAGCCATGGCCTGCTTGAAGAGCTTCTCAGTGGAAGCCTGGCCTTCCTCAAGCATCGTCTTCTGCACATCCTTGGACCGCTTCTCGACAGCATGAAGAGCATCATCGATCCAAATGAGAGTCATCGGTGGTGGGCGCCACAGCCCCACTGGGGTTTCCATCCGGCGGCGCCTGTGTGGTAGTCGGCGGCGGTGGTGCTGCCGGGGTGGCAGGAGGCGGAGGCACATGGTCCTTGTCCTTGTCCTTGTTGTCGGCACTCGACTCTTGCTTGGCTTTCACATCAGAAGGGGAGACCATGTCCGCCGGCTCCCGAGTTTTCTTGATGCGCGGCGGGTTCCAGTCGTGAACCTGCACATCTTCACGATGTTGTACAGGAAGAAGAGCATGAGTAGGAACCAAGGCAGCCCAGCATGAGCGGCACTGAGCAGTTGAGTGTCCTGGTACCATGGAGCCCGAGCTTCGCCTGAGGTTGCCGTAGGCATGACATCCTTTGCATCCTGTATGGGAGGGGGCACCACCGTAGCTGTAGAGTGCACCACCTGGGACGTCGAATCGTCCGTCGGCACGTACACCATGGCTGTTGCTACAAAGTTGCCCTGATGTTCGAGACACAAGTTGCGCTCATGAGCCAACGTCCCTGCAGCCCACATGCCAAGGCTCCTCAAACTGCATGCGGCTAGTCGCGCATGCCACCAAGCGCACTCAAAGTGAAAGCTTCGGAGTGGGTGGCGGGCATTATTCCCTAAGGTCAGGTTCGGCAGGCGGGGACGCGAGGGAAGCTTAAGGACAAAAGGTTAAGATAAGAGGGTTAATAGGTTTAGAGGTTTTTCCTATTATCAGGACAGTTCCGGGGATTCTTAACCAGCACCCTCCAAGAAAAAGATAAAGGGGAACACAGGGGACCCAAACTGGGTAAGGGTAGGGTCATCAACGCCTCACAAAATCCAACGCCTAGTGCACGGCGGTGTCTACCAGGACTAAGCGACAGAGACAACGTGCATACATATGCAACAGACCGAACACGGTACGTTACTCCAGTCAGCAGGCTCCTTGGGGCAACAAGCTCAGCACTAAGCATGAGGCCTCCGCTTCAGTTTTACAGCACGTCGGAAGGTAAGGGTCCGGCAGTACCAGTGCACAGTGCGAAGACAAAACTACAAAGGTTCAAAGCCAAGGCGGCGGCGGATGCAGGGCCTGAGTGGCTTGGCCTCCCACTTGGCTCTGGAAGTCGCGCCGAAGTTGCGCTATCTCACTGAGCACTTGGCGGAAAGGGTCCTCTCTCACTTCTTGCCGAAACCGGTGCAGCCTTTCCTCAAGGCCTTGTACGGCCCCGGCTAGGGCCTGCAAGTCTCCCTCCAAGTACTCCCTCAGCATCATGCCATTATTGGCGATGTCCCTAAATTGAGACGGCACCTCGGCTTGAAGGGGAAGTAAGTAGCGCCTCAGCAAGGCCTGAGTTTTCAGCATGTCCTCGGTGCGTTCGCGAAAGTCCTGTGCAGCTCCAAGCCCAGCAGCCTTATGTGGCCATACGTCTCCTTGCAGTGGCGCTCCCATCTATCTGTAAGCACCTCGGTCAGAAACGAATGCGGCTCTACAAGGACTGCGTGGCGGTTCGCCGCCAAAGGTCCTGGAGCGATCCCGTCAGGGAATCCAGCGAGTCTAGCAGTCTAGCATAGCCTGCTGACGGGCTTCGGCTTGAGCGACTCTCTTTCCAAGGGCACCCCAGGCTTCGCGAGCGTAGTTCACACAGGCCAACACCAGGGTCGAAAAAAGTACGACCCCTAGTGCGAGCCGGCCAGCATCAATGCTCAGCGGGTGTGGGGTCTCTCCATCCCAGGGGCACGACATGATATCCACTCCTAATGCGTCTCACTGATAGGATGAGCCTGCGCGACATCATGAGTAAACATAGCACAAGCGGTGCTGCTGCAAGAACAAACTCACGGCGGGCATACGTACAGGACTGCTCTCACAGCTATGCGCACTTCGAACAGGTTTTTACGTGCACATGGCGTAAGTAGGCAGTACGTTATTGAACAAGGTGCCAGGTAACGACAACCCGGGAAAAACAGTGCGGTGAAACCAGGCAGTGCGGCAGTTCGGGGCCCCAGTGTTACAGTAGGAACATAGTAAACTACTCAGACATGTCGAGGCTATCGTCTAAGAGTGTTGCCGCCCCCGATTGCGAATCACAAATCTCAATGACATCATGACGTTCAATTACGGCCCGAGGAAGGCGTAGGGCATCGGGGAGGGACAACTGCCTCAGGCGGGGTAGCTCTTGACAGCCACCCGCAAACATGCAATCGTGGATTTGGGTCCGTGAAGGCAGAGGGAAGCCCAAATCCAAGAGCTGGGAGCGGAGAAATGTTTCTAAGGTCCCCACATGAATCGTGCTAAAACCCACAACAACCAACCTCGGACCCCCCTGCAAGGGGTCAGAAGTCAAACAATGACCTGCGTGGAGGACCTTGCGCGAGTCGAAGCACAAGGCTTCAGAAATCGGCCGCACTGACCCCCAAATACTCTTACCTTGAAACATCTTGGGAACTGGGCCTGCTGGGTCTTGCATCCAGAGGCCTTCCCCAGGTCGTTGAGGCGTGAGGCTAATGATAACTGCGGGGCAGGGCCCGTTTCTGGAGTCTCGATGTGGCTCTGACTTACAGCCTTGTAAAACTACCAGAGTAGAAAAGGTAGCAATGGGGGACATAGCTCTCATAAAGCGATTTAATAGAAGACAACATAAACATACTGCCGCAAAACACAAAGACACAAATGGCCCAGAACACAACAACGCAAACAGCGCACGTTTACCGACCGGGCTGGCTCGGTGGCTGAAAGCTGTGCTTTTCCGAGTTTCCGGCAACAACATGATACGTGCCGAGCACATTTGAACCCTGCTATGACCTAGCGCTGCAACAGATTGGCCATCTTGCATCCTGCTGCGCATCCTGCTGCGCGCTAGAATTTCTGACCTTCTTCAGTCTTGGCTTCCCTTGTTTTGCAGTGTCAGTTTCAGCTTCGCGGAGGTTGACTTGACAGGAACATCGGTCAGGTGCGCTCGGCTGCTGTGTGCTCTCTTGTAGCAGCCAGCATGCACGAATCTACGCTGATCAACGCTACGCTTTTGACCCACGCTGTTTTCTCACAGGAAGCTGTCTATGTGCACGATGCATCGTACAATTGCCCGAGAAGCGGCTGCTCTCATATTCCATCCTGGTCGAATGCGGGCAGGACCAGCTCTGGCAAACGTTCATGGCAGCATGGGTGCTTGATTGAGTCCAAGGCGCAGGAATAGGTGCAGTGAAGCGGAAGTGGAACATAGGATTCCCTGCATCGGCATGAACTTTCAAAAACCTACGAAATTTCACGCTGTGCCTTTCCGCATTTAAAGAACTGTCAGCCCTTCTGGTTTCTGCTCTCGCATCACGGCAGCCATGCCCCTTCGTCCGAACATGGGCGACCACAGACTGTACATAGGCGTGGTGTGAGCATGCTTCAATGCTACAAACTGGCTACAACGAAATGATACCAAGCGCAGTAGTTTCAACTTGCTTCAAACTTCAAACTACCATGGAGTTCCACGGGTCGTGACCATCACTGCCAGTGCCCGATCTGCCAGACCGCAGGATATAGAATGCACTGGCCCATGGGCCCAAAGAAATCGAAAGAACATCCTCAGCCGCAAAGCTGCCGCAGCTCTGGCATAGGGATGCATAAACTTATGAACACATGTCGGAGGGCAGACTTGACAGCGAAGGTCGACTTGTTCCACACATCACCTTGGGTGATCCAGCGGTGAACAGCAGCAATCCGAATGCCCCCATGTTTGTAAGACGACACGGAGATGGAAAGTAGTCATGCCCATGCGGCAATGGCGCGTGCCATGCACTTGCCGGGCACGCATTCGAAGTTTGCACGGCTTTGTCCCTCGCCTGCCACGTGCCACGACTGCACTGAGAGAAGAACCTCCAGGCACAGAACCGCCTGTAAAGCGACTTGGAACATCCTTGATCGGCCAAGCCAAGTGCTGCTGCTCGTCAGAAGGATTGATCCTTTCGGCGGAGGCACTTTGACTTATTTTCAGGCCCACGCCGAATTCGTTACTTGATGTTACTTCTGCTGATGCACTTATTTCGTGCCAAGCAACAACAGTACTGCGACTGCCGACGGCTCGAGTGGCTTAGCCCAAAGTTGTACGCCACTGCTGTTGACAATGCGCAGGCAGCCAACAGGTGACTGCAGTTCGCCTTGGATTCATGTTGCAGCAGTCGTTGCATGCCACTGCACCCTGCAGAAGACCCAGCCCAGAGCACACTGCACCCCAATGCGGCCACGCGGCCGTGAGATGTCAGCGTAAAGTTGAGACTGGACGAGATGGAGTGACATTGCGTGTTCTTGAAGGAGGCCTTGCGGGTATTTTGGACCTTGCATCAACAAGCTTTGGTTCACTTTGTCGGCCTTACATGTCAGCGTTAGCCTGCCCATGGAATGAAACACACCGTGGATGACAGGAGCATCATCCAGATGTCACCAAATGACGAGACTCTTGAAGTCGCATTGCTCTGCACCTTGTGCTGGCTTGCTATCCACATAATCTTGAATTGAAAGCTGCTCTTGCTCGGGGCACGCCTTAGTCGTGGTGCCATTCGCCGCGCTCATTCATTGCAGTTCGGAGGTGACCAAAAGGGCCGAGGTGCGGTTAATCCCACAGTAGGAGGCTTCCGCACGAAATACCCAGCTGAGGTGTTGAAGTCTGCGGGGACTGCATACCTTGAGTTTTAGGGTTTACATGAGTGTTTGGACGTAGACGTTGCCATCTAGAACCTACATGCAACTTGACCATCAGACAACGCTAGTGGCACTCCTCCGGGAGCACAGGCCGCTTTCGGACCGAAGCAAGACTCAGACAAGACCGCTCTTCGCCCCGTTCACTCGCTGCAAACCAGCGAAGTCAGACAACGGATGTGGTCGCCAAATCATCTTCAGTCAGTAATTGTCAACATGCCGGCGAAATGCCCAAAACTGTGAGCCTCAACGAACTCTCCAGTCATGCCTCGCGTGTGGAGCTGGGCTGACACTTGTTCTCGCAAACCGATTGGGCTCCATTCCTTGACCACCACAGGCCCGGTAACCGATTCGGTCCCAAAGCTACTGCAGCACGGCTCTCTGCGACGGCTTTGACTCATGCGATCTGCCGGCAGGGGAGGGAGGAGCTAGCTGCAAGGAAGCTTGACTTTATAGGACGATTCTCCACCAAATCCATGTTCATTGTTTGCCTCAGTACTAGGACACGCACCGTGCTTTCGCACGTCATGCAGACTGCCAGCTCTCTTTTGTTCAGGAATGTTCAGGACGTCTGTTCATGCACGTTTCTCACATCGGGGTCGGCAACGCTCCAAGCATGAGCTATGCTCAACAGCACAGCGCTCTGACAGAAATTCACTGGCGCCGTTGAATGCCTGTTCCTCGTACATACCATACTCCTTGATAGTCCTCCGAGACAAATCTAAGTCCCGTTTCTGACTGGAAAATGCGCAAGCTCAGGCGGGAAAATGCTGGCCAGGTGCAAGCACTTTGGCTTTGTAGTGGTCTTGTGCCCGTCCCACCACTGGATCGTGTTCTGCACAGAATTCCACTGACTTCCTGGAGGTAGCTCACCTCAGACCAAGCGGAAAAGTGGAAAGCGGGGTCCCCCGTCCCCTTCGCTTCGCTTCGACGACTCTTCGAGCCGGACCCACTCTTACAGTAGCCGGTTTTCCGTTCAAAAAAGAGGAACGAAATTCGACGCAAAGGCCCCTTAAAGCCTTAGAGACCGCTTACTTAAAAATGATGAACAACAAAGGCTCGTGCGTCCTCTACCTTCGTGAATTCAAGGCACTGCAGTTGCCCAAGGCCAAGCCGCAGCGTGTCTCGTTTGAGAAAGTTGTTGGCGGAGGGCATGGGCCACCAGTCTCTGAGCGGAGGCACAAGGCCCCTTCCAGAAGAGCCTTCGGAGCAACCAAGCGGCCTGAGCCCAACAGTTTTGCTTCTGCTCATTGCCGCATGCAACGAAGCGTACAAGCCTACGCAAGGCCTTGGTTGAGCTGCCATCCCACGGTGGCCGGACTCCCATCACATTCGTCCAACACGGCTTGCATCTTCGAAGACGAAGATGGATAGGCTTTGATCCTCGTTATGCGCGTCGGTGTCACTGGAGTAACAGAGTCCAGAGAGCACGTTGGGATGCTTCGTGTGCAAGCGACTCGGCGAACTCGTAATGTTGTGTTGGCTTGCCATAATGAACCACAATCAGCTGTAACCAGAAGTGCAGCTACGCCGCTTGAGAAGTAGCGACTTAGAATAAAGGTTCGCAGTCCCATGTCAAGATCCCGAAGCCACGGTTTGAGCTAAGGAGTTGTTTTTTTTTCGGACTCGTCGGGCTGCCTGTTGGAGCTCAGGCCACACCAGCTTTCACCACAACCGATGTCGTGCTGCGCATGCAACGGCAATGCAGCAACAAGGCAATCAGGGCAAATGCCGCCTCAAACGCCTGAGGAGGGAACTTTGCATTTTTGAAAGTTTAGGTAAAACAACGCTGGTGGTTGATTGTAAGTGTTGGTGTGGAGCATTGCCGGAAATACTATTGGTTTGCTGCTGCTGTTGCTGTGTGCTTGTGGTCTTGCCTGCAAAGTTTTATTCTGCAGGTGGATGCATCCGGCAGCACGAAAACAGAAATCAGGCGGGCACGACTGCTAGGAAAAACAATCCAAGAGGTCAACAGAAGCCCTGAGCCCAAAGCAGCCTCCAAAAACAACAAATTACTCTGCGTCAATAACGCCAACCTCAGCAAATAAAAACACGGCTTGGGGCTTCGTGGGACTCCATGCAACCAATCTTGTAAATTGATTTTCGCTCTTTCAACAGGATTTGTCCAACCTCCGACATGCCAAAGTTCAAGCTTCGGCACTTCTGCTGAAATCGACACACCCTCTCCGGCGGCACTTGCACCGCACGCCAGCAGCAGCAACAGCAACAGCAACAGCAACAGCAACAGCAACAGCAAACACCAACAAGAAGAAGCAGCAACAGCAACTAACAATAAGGCAGCGCTAACACCAATACAAGCAGCAGCAGCAGCAGCAGCAGCAGCAGCAGCGGCAGCAGCAGCAGCAGCAACCACAAGGACAACAAAGGCAGCATCAACAATATCAACAACATTCGCCTGAGACTAATACCGTGCCCCTTCTGCTCGCCCCTAGCAATATACAAGCTCGGTGGTGCACTGACCGCATTCTCTCTCAGAGCAAGCCCAGCAATGCCTAGAAGGTGGGATGCGACTGCTTATGAGGTCGTGTCGGGCAAACGCGGCGATGGAGGAGTTCCGCGGACCGGATGCCGAAGAATCGAAGACAGGGAAGCCCAACCACGAGGCAAGAAGGACCGGTTGCTCGCTACGGACTCGATGAAGGGTGTCAAAGCAACCGATCCAGGGAACCAAGCCAGCACAGTAGTAAGATCTTGAGCCATCATCACGAGACGCTGGCCACGCTATGCATGCGCGCAGCCACCGGCGCCCCCGTGATTCCGGATTTGATCCAATCGGTGTGAAGAGCACTCCGCGACGTCCTCTTTGGAGCTTGATCCGGCATGTCCGGGTGACCAGCGAGATGCACATGGAGGAGACCAAGACACAGGCATCCACAGTCGACCTCCTGGCGCTGGCTGCATCTGGGTGTACCGGAGACGAAGTGGCTGCATGTGGATTCCTCGCGCAAGGCCCTAACGACGGAGCAGCTAGTGCAAATTATCGAGAGCATTCAGGAGCTCATTCGCCGGGGCAACTTGTCTCCCTTCCATGCGCTCCGCATGCTCGGCGAGTCAGAGGGTTCGCCTTATGATGGACATTGCGTTTCGATGACCAGAAGGGTCGCAGCTCTACGATGCTGTTCCAACGCGGCACTGCAGCTGACAGGCATACAGTATCGCCGGAAGACCCTCCAGCGACCACCGACGCTGCAGCAGCTCATGGACCGAGTGTACCCTTGAGGTTCCTTATTACTACTGCTACCTTTTGGCCACTCTGGCCGGGCCGAGACCACGCATGCAACTAGCAACTTAGCAGGGCTACAGGCATTCAACTTCCTTTTTAGGCTCCGCCCTGCTTCTTTGCAGCTGGCAACGCAGCCAGGGCCAACATGACACCGCAGAATTTCTACGTAGGCTATGTGGTGTTGAAACTCTGCCCAGTGCCCAGGACATGCAAGGCTCAGTGCATGCATGTGCCTTCAGACATACACCGACGGTGTTTTTACTCCGCTTCGTGCTGTGCTCTATCGGCCCTGCCGACGCCACAAAGAACTGCGAGCATCCCTTGAAGTCCCTTTAGGCGACGCCCGTGAGTTGTGCACACTGACCTGCACGGTCGAGGCCGCAGTCTTCGCCATCTTGGTCAGCTTAGCCGTGACCCACAGCTGCATCTGGCAGAACTGGGGTGTCATGCCTGTCCTGCATGTTCATGCGCAGAATACGCGCTAGCCGATGCATCCGGAAGCCGCCATCGGCAGTGGTATTTGTTGGCTCGTCGCTCAACTGTTTAATCGACCGTTTCTATGCGGCTAGCCATTCGTGGCTAGCGGCTAGCGGCTAGTCTCAGGCCCTGGTAGGCCAACAGTGCATGTTGCCACAGAGTAAGTGCCGGAATTCCGCTGACCACCTCCCTGTCACAACGTCTACAGGGTCTACTCCAACCAAACAAACACCACCAGCACCAGCAGCAGCACCAGCACCAGCACCACCATCGAAGCCACTACAGTACCACGCCGACCACGGACACCTAATCGCCGGAAGCCACGACATCACCAAACATCCAACCAGACACAAAGCCAGAGTCGCTTGCCCGAAAGGTAAAGTGCAAGGACTAATTGCAAACATATAGTTGCATGCAAAATCATAAAACATGCAAGCATTAGGGGATGCACCGTGTGGCCGATTTTATCGTGGCTCGCAGCTAAAAACCTTCCAAAACCAGTTCCAAGAGGCAGAGTGCCGGGGTGCCCGTGCCATGAAGCTGAAACTGCGAGCGCATCTGTGTTCGTGATGATGGGCCAGACTCTGTCCTGGGGCCACAGCAAAAGGCAGCTTGGCTTTTCGACACGGACAGGTGCATCAGAGCATGAAGCTGTGGCAGAAAACAAGCCGGTTGTCCAGCTTGGCTCCATCTTGCAAGTCCTCTCAAGCTTATCAAGGAAACGCCGCCGGCCCCCCCCCCTGCCTCCAGGCGCTATTCTTGGGCCACTCCACTTGGGCGCGCACGAACCCCAGAATCAACGGTGACGACACGATGCACCACAGCCTTCAGTAGAGACGTAAGCCATAAGATCCGGCATTCTGCGTCACCCGGTACATCCGACACAGTACACTCCTGAAGTCGCATTCATATAAAACTTAGCCGCCCCCAATGTGTTCGCTCTTGGTCTTGCTGGTGCGGTCCTTGTGGAAAGTTGCCCACCTGCAATGTGGCGCACAGGGGTCCAATGGAAGCCGCCTCGCTAGTGTGACCCCTACGATGGGCAAACAGTCAACACTTATTGCAGGTGGGAATACGCTCCACAAACAGAAAGACTTGCAGCACCAAAAGATGCTTGCCCTTGCACGGCTCCGGCCTCACTCATGTCGGGATACGCCCAGCAACCTGGCCGCGAACGTGGCTCGGGTAAGTCGGCGGCATTAACCGTAGCCTGAAAAGCGGCAAATGCGGGACGTTCTATGAAGCGGCAAATTGACTCCACTGCAGAAGCGCTGAAACAGTCTGTGCTGAAGCGGGCTTCACAACGGGAGGCCGGGTAGCATATGCCTCTTCCACGATGGAGCTGACGCTGGGACTAATATCACCTCCTGGCAAGGAAGCTCACAAGATGTTGGTTTGCAGCTACAATGACTGGACATTTCAACTCCGAGACTGTTAGCTCCTGTGCGGAAGAAGTTCATGGGACAGAAGCCAGTTCGAAAGTCTGGCCAGGAGTTGTGGCAATTCTCAATACCTCGCCATACTACTGCGGTTTGAGGCCCCTCGACTGAATTAAAAAGACTCGTGGACTTGTGGTATATTGCAGCAAAATAGCGTATGGCCTTTCCTGTGCGGTTGAACAGCTCTGCCCAGTGCGAAACATTCTGAGAGCTGCCGCAGCTATCGATTTTCCTGACAGTGCAATCTTAAGCAAGTCGTGAATGCGACAGGCCAACAAGTAAACACAGTTCAGATGAAGACGATTAAGAAGGACACACGCCGTCGAAGTCCATCTGATCCACCATCCAGCTTACATCTTGAGCGTAATGTGTCGGCCCATGCTCATTGCCTAAATGTGAACGCGGACACGGGTACTTCTTACATGGACAGCAAGGTGCCAGCACTGGGCGAGGAGCAAATGCAAGTGTTGAGATATGTTCCCACTTTGAGACCTCGAGAATGACCAAAGTTCACCAGCCCCTTCCTCGGCAGCCGCAGCCGTCCGATGCTCTCGAGACTCTCAAGGACTCAGCCAGCTTGATTCGGGATGCATGTCCGGGAAGCGGTCTTTCCGTACAATGGGCATTCCCCTGGCCGTGGCGCAGGTTTCCATGCGTCCGACACAAGACCAAGATACATTTCACATCTCCGTCCTGGAGTCGTGCCAGGAGCAATGGCCACCAAAGCAAAGATTGCCGTCGCACTGTGGCAAAGTTGGATCTAGATCCTCTCATGCTGAAGCTGGCAGCAAATTGCTGACTTCAGTTCATGAGGACGGACATTGAGCTCTGTCACCGCCAGTGCACGTGTCTCTGATGTCTGATGATCCCTATGTCCTGGCGCACACTGCAGTTGCAATGCTGCCATCCATCGTCCATGCTAATCCAATCGAAGCCCAGCCTCGTGAGGGTAGCTGATATGAGAAGCAGGACTGAATTGGAGACTTCTGATAGCACCGACAGGCTAAACTTAAGTGTCAGACTCGGCCAGGCTCGTCTGCTTGCCATCGACCAGGCGGGATCTGTCAAGCACAGCCTCCATCTGCGCCTGCATGTGTGCCTGCGTCAGGATGCGCTTTGGCCTCAGAGGTGAGCTGCGAGGGAAAGCAAAGGAGAGAAGCAAGCCAAGCACCTATAGCTTGCCAAAGTCCGAGAGTCTCCAAGCAGTCGAAGGCATTCCATGACCTCCATCCACGCGGCGGCGTTAGTCCTATCCCATTGTCAATCGCCTGCACCTGAACTGCAATCCGAAGCTTTTGTGCAAAAAGGCCCCGTTCCTTAGAACGCAATCACATCTGCAAAAGAAGCAGCAAACCCATGGCAAGGCGCGCCAAAGGCTGACAAGCTCAACAACGGAGCGTGCAGCAAACGCACCATTCGCCGAGCAGCGCAAGGCTCGCGAGGCCTGTTCTTTCAGCATTTGCCTATATATGACTCGTCATAATTCCAGGTTCTGGACGCGTGCGTTACATTGTGGACAAATTGTGGAAGTCTGAAGTCTCGGAAGCTCTTGTGAGAGGCTATGCGGCTATATCCGTGCGCTTGCATGTCGAGGCTGCCTGGATTTAAAGGGTAGACGCAGCAGGAGGCATCAAGGCATGCTTGCAGCAAAGACAGCGATGCCCATCAACCGAGCAAGCAATCTGTGCAACGCACCTGAACAGATGTGACCCGGGAGCTTTCACGTTTGTGACGCTCGTTGGGATCTGCAGAAAGTTGCCCTGGTTGACCTCCTGATTGATCTGAGTTTGGCTCCAACAGCCGAGGCCTAGTCACCTCCGTGCAGCTTGCCTGTGGTGCACTGAGAGATCTTGGTAAGTGGCGACCTGAGCTTCACGTGGACTGCCCTTTGCACTGCCCCAAACCCCCAACTCACCCAACCATGATCTTTCAAACATGGATCGATGCACCAGGCCCATGTTTTTTCCTTCGCGCGGCTTTATCTGAGTCTCTCTTGTGCGATTCTGCTTTGTGCACATCGGGGCCTGTGACTTGAACGCTCTGCGCGCATGTACGATCTCGTTGTGGCAGCCTCTCGATAGGTTCTGCGCATGTCTGCACCTGGTGAAACGGTTCCGTCACTCTCCTGCCGAACAGGACAGCTTGCGAGTGCGACAGTCATCATGACATGCTGCTCGTTCAGAAGTTGTGCCTCCTAATCCTCCACGTCACGGATGGAAATGTTCTGCTGGGAGCTCATCTGTGTCGGTGTGATGGTTGACCTTGTCTGTTGGATGAAGGGTCTCAAAGCCGAGAGCAAACCCTCAGAATTCCGATGCCGACATTAGTTAACATTTTGGCTCATGCTCTGCACTCTCCCGGCAGGCTCCCTATTGCAAGTCGATGAGCTCGACACTGGCTCAAACTTTGTCGTAGATTGGTCTTATGCCTGTCTCCACGGATGTGGCCCTTGATTTTGGTTGAAGCTGTGCTGCATGTGCTCTCCGAAGCCGACTGGCATCACCCCGCGGCTTTGTTTGCGGCTCACCTAACTCAAACTAAACCGTCGCCGTGTCTATTTGCCAAGCTTTGCGCCGCGTGCTCAAAGCAGGACTCGCTGCTGAGCGTCGTCTGATCACTCTTTATCGGCGAGATTACCGGAATTCATCGAATGAAGAATCACATCTGCCTGTAGACTGTGGTCTGCATGTAACAGCAAAGCCAGATTTTGAAGGCTGCAGCTAAAGCCATCGTTGTCCCTGCCGTACGGCCTTTCCGAACAATACTTTGTCGGGGCGGGGCATGCCGCCTCTGACCAGATGGCTTACCATTCGGTCAAATAACATGGACTCATGGTGTTCAAGACCGATCGTGTGACACAGCAGAAGGAGGCCCTCCTGGTAGGAAGCCCTGTGTCGACTTTTGGGTCTCTGATCTCTCCGTGAGTGCAAAACTGCTTTTTCTTTTGCGTTGAGTTCTGGAAACTTGCGGTACGTGGACTGTGCTCACTGGCCGTTGGCTGGAAGCCAGTAACTTTTGCCGGAAGCGCCATGCGCGGCGAGGCTTGGAAAGGGCTTTTGGTGGCCCCTGAGCCATAAAAACAGCGCAGCAACTTGCGAGAAGTCCAAGGCAGATCCACATATGCCCGGCCCGGAAAGAGACCTCATGTACAAGTTCTTAGCACCCTGTGCTTGAGTTAGAGCTTTGGAAACCAGCACAGCACCAACCACATTAACAAAAAACACCGTCAAACAACTACCCAGGCCGTACGGCTCCTCACTCTTGTTGCAAGCAATGTCAATAGCAGCATATGCTTCTGTTCGAACACTTAAACGCTGTTGATTGCAGCCTTTCCAACATTTCTGGTGGCTCACAGGCTTTCTAGATTACTGCAGGTTTGGCTATTCCCGAGTTCTCTCAAGCTTCAAATGCCGTGAATTATGGCCTTTCTGAATCTTCAACTTCAGAAGCTCCAATGCCATGGAAACGATGTCAACAAAGTCAATTACAGCATCTCCGCTGGCTCACATGCTACTAGTAAATAATTTTCAGAAAATCACATGCTCAATGAAGTAAAACTGCACTGTGTCAACATCTAGAAAAGTCTGACTAGGAGTAGGGGAAATAGCAGCAGGTTTAGCGGCGGTACTAGTAGTAGTAGTAGTAGTAGTAGTAGTAGAAGAAATGGCAGTAGCAGTAGCAGTAGCAGCAGCAGTAGTAGTAGTAGTAGCAGTAGCAGTAGCAGTAGCAGTAGCAGTAGCGGAAGCAGTAGCAGTAGCAGTAGCAGTAGCAGTAGCAGTCGTAGTAGTAGTAGTAGTAGTAGTAGCAGTAGTAGTAGTAGTAGTAGTAGTAGAAGAAATAGAAATGGCAGTAGTAGTAGAAGAAATAGAAATGGCAGTAGTAGTAGTAGTAGTAGTAGTAGTAGCAGTAGCAGTAGCAGTAGCGGAAGCAGTAGCAGTAGCAGTAGCAGCAGCAGCAGCAGCAGCAGCAGGAGTGGTAGTAGTAGTAGTAGT